AAACCAGGTAAAGCAGAAAGGTCAGCTACACAGAGGACTGCTCCTACTGCATCTCTATTTAAGTCTGCTCAGAGGAAGGAGGAGGCATAGGTGAGTCTGTAACAGCTGTCACAGCAGTTGTTACTGCCAGCCAAATCCTGTGAACACTTTCCATTCCCATTCCCTGAGCAGCTCCCAAGATCAAGACCAAGCCATGAGCAAGAGCATCTCTTGAGTACTGAACACCAGCTTCAGGAATATTCTCAGTGGGGGAGAAAGGAGTGAGAAAATAGCTGCAGAGTCACACACAAACTGCAAAAACCCTAAAATTGATATGACGTAGAGAAGCTCTTCTGATGAATAGCTGGATGAAATAAGCTAATTTGCAATGGAGGTGGGATTTTTTTTAATCAGGTAAAGACATGTGCATAGGGAAATGGGAGGATGTCATTAGTGTTATTTCGGAAAAAGTATTTTCAGTGAAATATTAACATCGCTGTTCACACTTAGGAAATTATACCGTAAAATGACCAGATTTTTTTTGATAATATTGCTTCATGTGTTGGAGAGGAGAAAGCCTGGTAACTATCCTCATTATTTCAACCCTATTTTTTTGTAAGGTGGCCAGCCATGCCATCATTAATATCACATGAGTATTCATGTCTTTTTATCCTAAAATGAATGCAAATTAGACATCACACCTTATACTTTAAAGCCATGCTGAAATACAAGGAAGTCTATTATCTTTATACCATATATTTTAGGATTTTTTTTCTCCCCACTTCAGCAGAAGACTGGCAGTTTATAACACAGCAGTGTGACTGCCTCATTTGCACATTTACAGTGTTTGATAAGGGGTTGAAACGCTTGATTCCCCAGAGGTCCTCCTTGTTCTTTTCCCAAAATGTCTCCCTATATTTCAATACAGCTGTGACAAATTTTTCTAAATAACAGATAGCTAGCCTTTAGATAATGCCTTTCATGCAGAAGAACATAAAACCACTTTACACAGGGCTCATGCAAATCATTTCACTAGATGCCAGTCAGCACAGAGCACAGGCTGGAATCAGCAGCAGAGCAACCCATTCCATATAGCACCTCTTGCCCATGGTCTTGGGACCAGAGTGGTCCGTAAGTATCATTTTTTTGTCACAAATGCATTCTAAATTACAGTAAAAAAAAAATCAAGACAGAATTGTTGAAACTCTTTGAAGTTTCTCTAAGCCATACTGGACAGACATTCAAATGCATTAAAATATACAGCCAAAATTCCATATTCCTTTTGCTAAGGAAATGAGGTAACACCTTTGACCACCACATCATACTGACTTTTTTTTTCAATGCCAATAGCATCGTCTAAATCCTGGCTTCTAATTGCAGCCATACCACCTATTTGCATTTATGGTATTACTGTCCATTGTGCTAGAGCATATTTGTTACAAAATTCTTCAAGAATAATGAAAATAAACCAAACTCCTTCAAGCACTAGCATTGGGGTATTTTTTAAAGAACAGATTTGATTGCAAGGGAGAGATTAACTTTAAATTCCTCCACCCCTTCTTTTATTTGAAAAGAAGGTGTAATACAGATGCTTACCTTGATATGACATTAAAAGACAGTTTGGGTCAATATAACTACTGTAGAACAGTAGAATTTTTTAAAAGATCCTTAAGTGTTTGTACTTACTGATTTTACCTTTCAGATGCATTTTAGCACTCCGAGGTAATCAGCTAAATCCAAACCACAATTGTAGAGATAACTGCTAAGACAGTCTCTCCCTTTATTTGTACACTATGCATACAATATCATACCCTGCCAAAACAAGGAAAAATGTATTTCTGCAATAACATTTTAGAACATAACCACGTGAGTCAAACTGACCCCACAGAAGAGCTTCTTTGCACTTGATGGTACGTTTATAGACATGTTGTAAACATCAGACTACACCATTTTTAATAATAAAAAAAGGCAGTATAATACTGTTTCCTTGTAACTGAGACAAAAAATCATTTGGTAAGAGTAAGAACATTTATTGGTTTTGACATAAAAATTTCTTGCTGTGCAGTGGAAATGCTGTAGTCCAAATACTGGAAGAAACATGAAATCTCAAGGGCTATGTTCAGCAACTCTTTGGTCAAAAGCAGATGTGGCAGGTGCATTATTTAAGAGCTTGTCAGAGATGATCTTCCACAGCACACTACTCCAGGATTCATCTCCTGCTATGCTTTGGAAGGGAACTCTCATGTAAATATATGGCAGAACTGGCTGGCTGAACATCAAGCCTGAACTGTCCAACCCTCTTCAACACGACTGCGGTCATGTATCAAAAAAGCTCTCCAGTACTGAATGCAACTACCCTCCCACATCCCTCATGTAAGAGCAGCTCTTTGGATGAGCTGCTGAAAAATTAAAAGCGACAGTTTTCTCAGTAGCCATACTTGATGTTCTGAAGTGGTTTTGTATTGCTGTATTCAGTGTTAATTTGGTACCATGAAGATGTAGTATATTCAATGCAGTGTGGCCCAAGCTACTGCTTTGATTTTCCTGACTCCTACACACATACAGAGACATGAGTTTATTTTATTTTATTTTATTTCACAGTATAAATCCTTGAGTAGAAGCTAATCGCCTCAGTAGGGATGATCACAAATAAACACGCCAATAGAAAACCAGAAGAGGCTCAAGGGATCAAACTGTTTCAAAAAAAACAACAAAGAAACAAAAAACCTCAAAACTGAACCCGCTCCCCACAGAAAAAAAAACAACACCCAAACCAGTCCAAATGGATCTGTGTGGTCCTCCTTGCTTACTGTGGTGAGCTAGATTTTCTTCTGTGTAAACCGTGGGAGTGTTGTTGTCTGTAGCACAGAAGAGCTCATTTGTGCAAATAATCTGACCTGTGTTTCTGTAGAGGATAGTCCAGACATATGTAGACCTGCACAGCTACTTTCCTGTTTTGACCACACACTCATCAACATTTCAGGAAGAAGGAATTTCCTGCGTGCTTCAGGTATCAGAGTTAAAACAAAACACAAAATCCCATTTGAACTACTCCAGTACAGACTTAAAAATCCCTCATACAGGAAAACCACAGCTGGTAAAATAAATCTTATTTTCTTTTTATGTAATGGAGTAGCTTAAGAAATAGGAGAGAGAAATCACTTTTGGCTAAAAACAAATAGGAGAAATACCATTTAAAATTGCCTATCTTTGGAAAAAGAAACTTTGATGGGAAGTGTTCTTCTTAAATGTGCCTATACTGGCCAGTCAGAAAAGATCTAAAAATTAAAAAGAAATGTCTTTCCTAATAAATCACCATACTTAACAAAATTTGAGATGCGAAGAATAGAGAGAAAGTAATGGTTGTACCTCAGATTATAGTATGCTGGCCACATGTTTGTGGCACAATACACACTAGTAAAAAAACATTTTACACAAAATTGTGCTGTGCAGTGGTAAGTGAAACTAATGAATGAAAAAGAAAGGTGTCCCTATGTATACATAACTAAAACCCAGAAAGTAGCTCTGTACCATCTTTCACTTGCACTCAACTCTGAAGGGAAAAAATTAGCATGACTGCAGTAATCCAGGATTAAAGCATTTAATTCCTAGACTGTTTACGAGCCATTAATACACACATTAATAAGCATATATATGGAGGGCTGCTCTAAAAATATATTACTCTGCTGTCAAAACTAGCTCTGGTACAAATTCAGTTGTATGCAAAGTTTTGTTCTTTTTAAAGGAATGCTTTATGTTAGATGTTTTAAGTAATCTCATGCTTGAAGTACTACATAAAAATATAAAATCCTCTGCATATATTAAGTAGGTCATTTCTCTTTTGTTAGTAAATGGAGTACTCTCTAGCCTTTTAAATTTTTCAATGCTTTTGAAAAGATAAAGTGTCTCCATTATAACAGGTAAATTATGTTTCTTCAGACAAGAGTAAATAATAACAGAGGGTATTTGTACCATGTTTACTTTTATGGAGCATTATTGTATTAAGTAGCACGTAACCTCAATACAAGTAAAATCATACATTATTCTGGGAGACAACTGGAAAACTCTTTACCGTTAACTCTAAGGAAACTGATAGCTCTAGAGGAAACTTCCCTCTAGTCTCCTCCATCAACAAGTATTACCCAATCACTCACACTAAAGGTAAATGACTCTATCAACTTAAGGCTTGTTTTGACATTTCAGAAAACGCCTAAACATTTCTCAGCTTGGGTTCATGTACCAGCAGTCAAGATGGGCTGGCATATCACAAGACAACAGGCTTGCCTGCCCAGGAATTTCCACTATGCACAATATCACTTTTCTGAAATGGGTTATGGGACAATGATTTAATTCCAGATTTCTCTTTGATTTTTTCCATTTCCATTTTTCCTGTTATAGACAGCATAATTCCTTCCCCCCACTGCCTCCCACTTCCCAATAGTGTATAAATTAATTTGCCCTAATTCACTTTAACCCAAGTCCTAATTTCACAGCAGGTGGGCTAAATTCTTGATCTAAACCTATATGTAGTTGAGAGAAGCCTATCTATGGGCATCAACAGACTTTACATCTGGACGGGGAAACCCAGGTGTGATGCTGCAGTGCAACACTACTCCCCAAATCCTGCTGAGTTCTACATACTCCAGCAGCAGGCATGTGAGCAGGAATGGTCCCCAATTTCACTCTCTCCAAGGTGTGAGATAACAAAAAGCTTTATGTCAGGTGGACAACTGCACAAATGGGAGGTGGCAAACTCCCAGGTGACCCAGCCAAAGTCTTGTGGCTAATGCTTCCAAGAGCTCAGAATCACTGCGGTCAAGTAACTCGGAAAACTATAAATTCATTGATTTCACTAGCTCAGCTGAAACTCTACATTGTCTCTCAGTGTCAAAACCACAAAGTATCTGTAGTGGCATGTTCTGTGACTGAATGGCTGTTGTCCTTACGGACAGTATTCTGCACACATAACTGAGATTATCACACATATTAAGAATGAGGGAGGGGAGGAAAAGAAAGAAAAATGCATCTTAGAAGTTACTTATTTTTAATGCCTAAAAGTCTGAATGCACAAACAATAATCTACCATTATAGAAGTACCGGTGGTCAATACAATGCATTAGAACTATGTACAATGACACAGTTTAGTATCAAAATCTTTCTACAATGTAGAGTATTACGAAACTGTTAATGACATCAAACACTAAGCACTTAAGACACCATTTTTGCTACCACATTTGGAACTTCAATGAACAGTCCATTTTAACTTGCAGCATCAATCCATTTCTAGTATGAAATTAAGTAATTTTCTACTTATACAATAAGATTTATCTACACGGGTCTTTTGATTTTGATCCATAGCAGCAAAGGCACTGTACATCAGCAGATCCACAGACTTAAAGATTTTTTTTAAAGCATTCAAAAAAAAAAAAAGTCACAGATCATAGTTCAACAGCAACAACAACAACATAAAAAGATAACACGTTGTCTCTGGCACAATGGCTCAGTCTGCGTCCTTTTTAGGGACATCCAATCAAGACTTGGATTGAACTGCTGGCAAACAAAGCAAGTCCTTATCCCAATGAGAATCCATTCCTTTTTGAATGTCGGAATGAGTACTCTTGTAAATCCTACCTTGGAGGTCATTGCTTTTGTAGTTTGTATATTGGTAGGCATCCATTCTTATTTCAGTGCAGTTTCCAAAGAACATATCAAATATTTTTCATAATCTCTTGTAATTGAAAAATTGCCCAAAGACACATATCCCCATTTTCAAGGAAACATTGCAAAAGTTTCCAGAAGTAACAAAGGTGATTCTCTGAGGCAACTTATTGTACTCTCTACAATATAACAAAGAGAGGTGTTTATATTAAAAAACCTAGCTTGACACCAAAATGCTTTATGTTAATCAACAGAAAAGCATTGAGAACAAATCTGTACACAAGATGCTATATTAACATTGCAAATATATAAATTAGCACATTCTTACTTAAATTTAATTTAGATGTGAACTGAATTTGCCATTCATCACAGGCATGTAGATCACTGGCTACAGTTTGCAATTTCCTAAGTTTCCAAGACTGTCTAAAATAGTTAAGATACAGCATCTTCCCACCAAATAATTATACTGTAATAACACTTAGAGGTCTCATTCAAGAACAGGACTAAAAAATATAACAAAGTTTATTTTTTTTAAATAGAAACTACAAGTCTATTTAGTGTAACTTTAACTATCTCCTGAACATCCTTCTCCAAGATCCCCAATTTATCCACCTGCAAAAACACAAGTATACAATGCATTTTTCAAACTAAAGCCGGGCCAGACAGCTTTATTAAGTCAGTTCATTGTTAGAAAGCCTTCTTTAAACAAAATAAATACATTACAGCTATAATACATAATTAAAGAGTCAAGGTTACTGTTCAGTATGCTTATTCCATCTTCTTCCAAATAGACAGCTGACAATTTGGTATCACGAGTTCTTAATGAACATTCACAAACCAAGAGCAAGTTAAGAAGGTAAAAATAAATTCCACAACTGTGATGAGCATTTAAGTTTTCAGTTTAGAAAGAAAAAACAAAAGGAATATACAGCAAAGTGCTAGGAGAAGGAGTCCTGTCTGCATTCAGATCTCTCTCTAATAAATAACTTCATAGACTGTAGCTTTCTTGTCCCCAGAGCCAGTGACAATGTATTTATCATCCACAGAGATATCACAGCTAAGCACAGATGAGGATTCTTTGGACTACAAGAAAAGAAAAAGAAAAAAAAAAGAAATTACGACTTTCCAATACTTCAATCCTGAAGGGCTTCAAGATTAATTGGAAGAGTTTATAGACCAGGAATACACCAAAAGCTCATTCAAGTATCAGTACTGTACTTTTGTTACAAGACCAGGTCTCCAAATTTGTTCCACAAAAAGATCTATTACAAGATAAAACAGCTGTGGAAAGGGAAATGAATGTTATGGACCTAAAGATAACCTATCACTCCAACGAATAGAAGCAGTCTTTTCTATATACTTTACAAGGAATGAGCATTTACTGATATTTTACATATTGGATTTGCATAAAAATTAATTAAAAGCATCTTCTTCCCTTTTTTTTTGTTATGAACCACAAATTCACATGAAGTAGTAGTAAAAAGCCCAACCCATCCACAGGTATAAAATAAGGAGACTCCAAGAATAAACTATATCTCCTCTCACTACTTCCCAAGAGAAAAGACAAAAGCTTTGTGCAAAAGAATTCACAGGATTCAAACAGGATGCAAACAGGAAAAGACATTCTAGTGGAAGAGGATGCACAACAAGTGTATAGGAGGTGGATGGGAGACAGGATGCACTGGGTTGCAGCAGCTCTATCTCCTCCAGCTTTTCTGTCTGTGCTGAGATTATGTGAATGTATTGTCACATTTGCCTTGCTGTTTCAGCGCAATATATAACATATGTCCACACTCTTTTCTGCCTGCCACTGCAAGAGCTAAACACTTCCCCATCATGCTACGTTTCAGTGCAGATGCCTCTGCTGCACCGCAAAGGAAGTTTTCTTATCTACCCCTCATTAAGAAAGCTGTACTGGGGTTTTTAACATCACTTTTAAGGGAGATGTGTTCTTGTTAGCATGATTTGGGCTGTCTGTGGGAGACATGAGTTGGGTACAGTATTACAGCAATATGTACAAGATGGTGAAAAAGAACCAATTTTGTATTAAAGGGCTACTGTACCGTAAGAGCTGAATTACTAAATAAAAGCATATCTTTCTCTAATTACAGACAAATTCTTTAAGGAATATAGTAATTAGCTCCATTTCCATGTGAAAACTCCTTAAATTACAGACAGACCCTGAGATATGCAGCTCTACTGCACTGTAATGTATGTGGAAAATAGCTTTTAGGAGATTATTACCTGGAATATACTGGCTCCATAAGGTGTTCTCCAGGCATTAAGAAGATTATCTTTTCCAGTGCTTACAAACCATTTGCCTGCAACAGATTGTTTAAATGTTATTGTTGCATTTTGTTTTCAAGGAATACACCTCAAGAAACAGATTGATCATAACAACAAAGCATTCACACATATTCAAAGAACAGTAACATTTTCATTTGGTTGCATTATGATGTTCAATCACAAAATAAGCAGTACATAAAAAAAGCAGTCGTAGTTTTTAAAATAATCTTAATATTAAAATTTAATACCTGATTTTTAACTATACCCTATAGTTAAGTATCTACATTATATTTTCATTTAAAGATAATTTTGAATGAACTTCTCAGGAAAGAAAACATTCATATATCAAGATTTGCTTACCACAGTGAGCAAATTTGAGTGACAATACACAGCTCTCATGAAGATGTAGCTGATACTTGTCCGGCTTAGTAACATGTAGCACCTCGACATTGCTGTTCTCCATTCCTACTGCCAACCACTCACCAGTTGGACAATAGCCCAGTGAGAAGATCTGTAATTAGCATATGCTTCAGTCAGTAAAGGAATGAGCTTGTGATCCTTGCTACACTGTTAACACTGCAAAACCACATTTTTAGTCTACTACAGTTTTAAAAACATGATAATTCAATTACTACAGTACTCAAGATAAATTAGTTCATGCAAACACAGCTGTAAAGCTGTGCTATTAAATGCTATTAAAACTGCAATACTGAAATACTGAATCAAGTAAAAGTTAATGTCCGAGCTTATCTGACAGCATTTAAAAATATTTTCATAAAATATTTTTGAACCCCAGTCTACAGAAAGGGAAACAGATTACACACTTGTTTTATAAAAAGATTCTCCATTACTCTCATAGGAGAAGTACTAATCTGTCACATAGTCGTAATCCAGAAAGACATTTAGCTGCCCCATTAAATAAATTTAAAAAAAAATTTTAAAAAAAAAAGAGTATGACACTAAGTGTTTTTTCAGAAACCCCCTCATCCCCCCCAAAAAAGTGCTTGTTTTAAAAACCCATGATGAACTTTTCTTAACATGCCAATGCTTCTGAGATTGAACCTGTGATGTGAAATCATGTTGCTGTAGCTGTCTCCCTTCTCTGAGATCCCATGATCTGACTGTATTGTCCAAGCCTCCCGTCCATAGTTTGGTGCCATCATTAGAAATGTCAATACAGCTTGCTCCATCTGTGTGGCCCTGAAATTGCCTGAATATATTGAGAGAAGATCAGCATGTTCTTGCACTGGAAAGAGTTGGTTCTGAGCAAGTATACAAAATACTTCCTTTTTCTTTCAGTCCCTAACATGCAGCCATTGAAGACAACAGTGATGTAGATTCCAACAGCAATCCCAAATTAATATAAACTCTGGGACAATCATGTAAGTTTTTGAATTGATGAAGCAATCAGCCCCGACACCCAAGTGCTAATTTGATTTCAAAAAGTACACTTTAAGAGTCAGGTACTCTGGAAATCTTTGCTGCTGACTGTGTGATACCCACTTTTCAACTTAAAATACTCATTCTCTCCAGTGGAATGTAACATGATCAGGAAAATGACCTTAGTTTAGGAAGAATCTGCAGGTTACCAAAGTTCAAAAAAAAAAGAGTGGTCTAAAGGGGAATATCAGGAAGTAAAAGCCTGACTTTACATGCAACACTGACACATTGCATGTAAAAACATACAGTGCACTGCACAGAGAAGCTCTGTATGATCAGCTCCTAGCTTACTGTACATCAGTGTTGAGCAGCAACACGTGCTCCTAAGAAGTTAAGTTTGCAAGGCAGTAATTTACACAGAACTTTACCCAAGACAATTTTGCTGGACCTCTGATTAAAGAGATTAGAGTGAGAGTAGTGTATTGCACAGAAACAAAGAACAGCATCTATTCAAAGAATCTACAGCAGTGTCAACATCAGTTGGTATTAGGGAATTATAGTTATGGGCTGCTCAAAAGGGCTGGAATTGTGAAACTCTCAAAATCTACAAAGAATCATATAGATTTTTGTCAAGGTATTAGCATGGCTATTGCCAAACAACAAAAATATTGGAAGCATCTATGCATAGAGGAAACAGCATACATGTGCAAAGGTGCACATAAGGCTGTGTCTAATTAATTCTTCACAATCTGACGATCCAGTTCTGTCGACCTACCTTACTAAAGTCTGGTTATGCAGATCCCACACTGCAATGTTCCCATCGCTACAGCAAGAGAAGCAGACCTTGGAATCAGGGCTGATAGCTAGGGCATAGCAAGCTGGAGCAGAAGATGTCAGCTCTGCTTTGATGCGAGGAGTTGGAGCTGCCAGGTCCCAAATGGATAACGTGCTGGCTTCCCCACCAACAATCAGGGTGCGGCCATCAGGGAGCAATCTGCAGGAACGGATGTAGTTGTCTCTGTTCTGTGAAGACAGAAGCCATCAAGAGATTACCCATGAGGAAAGAAAACAGCATTAACATGAGAGAAGAAATCCATAAAAGTATTGTATTCCCTCCTGGTTTTAATGAGCCATTTATACTTATGACAATGATAAAAGTGTATTAATGCCAGAAAATTACATGACATTAGGGAAGTACTTCAGCTTGATCTACAAAATTCAGTAGTGAGAGATATTTAATCTTAATTAGCATCAAAATGCAAAGACCTGAACCCAGCCCAAAACAATTCAAGATAGCTGTATTTGACAGCTGGTGTAGAAAGTTACATTTTCATACTCTGTTTATTTCAGCACATTAGCCTCTCGGCATGGGGGATTACCAAATTCCCTGCACACTTCCCCCCTTCCCACTCCAGTGAGACTTGCTGCCACCATCTAGGAGATGTCAGAGGAAAATATTTGGGTAATTTTCTTCATTTGCTTAGCAACTTGTGTAGCAATTCATTGTAAGTCTACGTGTGCTGCATAGTTCGTATTTTACTACCTCTGCAACATGCAGCAACATATTACCAAGAACTGTTAAATTACAAAAGAAAAGCTGCTAGCAACAGTTCATCTTGTTAGCACATTCAAATAATTTGTGAATAACACTCAGGGATATTTTTAATAATATTTTTAATCTTTGTCACATTAAGATTGGGTGATCCATTACTACACATACACAAAACATGTGACACAATCTTCAAATATTCTCAGAGCATACAGCTTTAAGACAGCAATTTTAAGCATGATAGGATACCAAGTTTTAAGACTGCCAAAAAATGTCAAAGTTTATAAACAATACCTGTTGTACTGTCTTTGATCTTTCCTCCTACCAATAAAATTTTAGGATATTAAAAATGTTTTGAGTCATTGCGGGGAAAAACCCCCACAAGTATGGAAGGGATATACTTCAACCTCAATTTTAAAAGAAACATCAAAATTACAAATGTAATACCAATCTTTGATACCATGACAGCACTCAAATACCCACTATTTTTTGCACCTAAGATGTAGCATTGCAATATTAACACAACCTCCTATCTTCTTTCATTGCCATATGCTGCTGTCCACCTACCAGGCAGTCCAGCTGAGAGACAGGGCTCTTGTTGCCAGGGTGGCTGATGTCCCAGACTTTGACGCACCCCTTCCCACCCGTGTACACGTGTCTTGTGGGGTTGCTGATGGTAACTGCACACACAACTTCCCCATGGTTCAGAGTGTTGATCTGACGGGCATGGCGAGGGATTCCTGGACCGATGAGGGCATCAGGAGGGAAAGGAACTGGCTGCATCTGACCATCTGCACTTACATGAAATGAGTATGCTCTGAGGGGGAAAAATTATAGGGGATGATTTAAAGAGTTTTTCTTCAAGCCTGTTTCAGAAAATAGAATCAAAGACATGTTTCCACTGTAGGCCTTTAGATTGTGCCCTTAGCTCAATTTTTTTGCAATCTTTTTCACAGATATTTCACAGACTAATCTGAGTTGAGAGGGACCTGCAAGGATCCTTGAGTCCAGCACTTAAGTGAATGGCGTGTATGGGAATCAAACACGTGACCTTGGTATTATTAGCACCATGTTCTAATGAACTGAGCTTATATCAGGTATTTTAATCATGTAAAGAAGAAATATTTATCTATAGCATGGCCCTCAATGCATAAACTTAGCTAATCACTCATCTTTTAATGTAAAAGGTCAAGCACCAATCAAACAATCTTTTACAACTCATGCAATGATGATTTCTGGCATGACATGACATGACATGAGGCTATATGACACTACTCTTTATTTTGGGGCATAGGTATTCTTAAACTTGGAGATCAGGATATCACTGCATGCAGAGAAGGGAAGGAAGGCTGGGTAAGGGCCCCCTGAAAGACAGAAGTAGTTGGCTGGCTGCTGCAGAGCATGGAAGGTAGCTGCGTGCCAGGGGACATCTACTTGCTCACTTTACTGACTCTAATGTGGCAGCTTCAGCTGGACTGCTGCCAATCTGCCCCAAACACGCAGTGGCTCCCAGGCCCCTTCAGCAAAACTGCTCTGCACTGCACCTAAAGGTGCAGTGAAACCTCCACCCACCACCAAAAAGGTAAGTCCTCAAGGCACAGTTGCTGACAGCTGACATGACAGACCAGCAAAAATGCACTGGAATGGAATTTTTTGTTGTTTTTCTGTTGCTGTTGGTGGTCGTTTGGTTTTGGTTTTTGAGCAGGTTTGGTTGTTCTTGGTTTTGGTTTGGGGTTTTCGTTTTTTTGTTGTTGTTGTTGGTTTTGGGTTATGTGGGGTTTTTTTGTGGGTTTCTTTTTTTGGGGGAGGGGTTTGGGTTTTTTTGGGGGGGGGAGTTAGGTTGGAGGTTTTTGTGTTGTTTTTTTTTTTTATGGACCCAACACAACTACCACAGATTCTAATTTCTCTTGCCAAAATCAGGGCTCTCACTGAGAAAGAACGTGTTGTGTGACTGTCACTTATGCCACCTGTGAATAACCTATCAAAAGCTATATCTTAAAATATTTTCCAGGGAGAACAGTTAGGTTGTGAAATTGTCTTGTGCTGAGATGCTACCTGACACATTGCATCTATTACAAGGGCACAGACTTTGTAAGAGGGTTCACCTACACATACCAAGGTAAGCTTAATGGAAGGCTTTAATTTCCTTAGACCTAAAAAATCATCATAGTACTGATGAAAAATTCATTGTCACAATGGCGGGATGAGAAGAGCTCACAAAAAAATCATTTTAGGAGAATACTTTGTAAGCTCACTTCCTTAATTAATGCTTCAAAGTCACTGAAGGAAGGCAATGTTCAGAATTCAACTACCGAATTTGGCATTTAAGATTCATAGTGCATTAACACTAGAACAATAATTGTCAGTGGGACAAAATGCAAAGGCATTTTCATCTTTCTGCCCTATTCACAGTGCTTTACACACTTTTCTCACGCTGCACTCTGTTTCTTATTCTGGCAAGTCTGAGAGACAGATCATATCACCATTCTCTGTTTTTTGGCATTAAATACACTCAGGAAACGACAGACTTCTGTGGTTGTTAGAAGAAGAAAACTGCCTAAAGGAGTAGAATTAGGGTTTGATCATCACCACAGAAATCTGAAATATCTTCCGCATTATCTCCCTACTTCCTGTTTGTGCAGTAAGATACTGAAAAAAGCAGTTGATGGTCATCTGAAATCAAGTGGAATTTCATAATCCTCTTTTCTGATTTCTCTACACAGTCACACTCTGCAGAGCACTTAGTGTATGATACCTTTATCAGCCAAAGTGTTTTTTAGCATCCTTATAATGAACACAGAGAGCATATTTAAAAATTACAGAAATAAATCTTAGATCTTACATTATCCTCACTCTATTCATTACTCCATACCAGCACATGTGATTATTTTGTGGTCTTTGAGTGCTTGCCTTTTTTTTCCCCCTAAGAACTAACACTGCGTGTTGCTTACAGAGGTACTGTAAATATCTTACAAATAACTGACACTATAAACACACGGTGAGCACCTTTTCCTTCTTTTCCCTATTTATATATTGTACAATATTCAACATGTTGATGTATCTCCAAAGTGAAAAGAGAGTTATTCAGGGCCAGATCCCTGATGTACTACATGCTGTCCACTCTATTTCAAGATATTCAACAGTGCAGAAAATTTACACAACTTTCCCTCTAAAGGAAAAGGAGAAGTAAATGAGAAAGTAAATGAGAAACAATGCTGAATGGAAGCTGTGAGAAGTACCACACTTAAGATGAAGAAAAGTCAACGCCCTCACGCTAAAAGAACCACAGATTTTAAAATTTCAGGCCCTATAGTAGACAAAGGATAGCTACATTTAAATGTTTAACATAGACATCAACACAGCAACAACATTCAAAAACCTTGGAGATGTATCAGAATTGAACTGATTTGATTTCAGTTTACCTCACGTTTTATTCCCCTAAATTCTAGAGTAAGTGAGATGTAAGCAGGGAAGTCACTGCATCCCTGCAATTGCCACTGCTCAGACCACAGCAAGCAAAGCCTAGCAGATCCAGTCACACTTCTTTTCAGGTCATTGACTCCATGGGGGATGAACTTAAATCCAGCAAACATATGAACACTATGTCAAGACATTTCTAAGAGCCCATGGTATGTATCGGATGAAGATCTGTACCCCACAGAATTTTTAATCCAAGCAGCTCATCATCAATTTCCACACCTCCCTTGTACAGTCACCTAACAGGGTGGAAAAATTAGTAGAAAGTCAACTGAAGGTGGTTACCATGTTTGAGAGATCTGGACATGGTTTGATTTGTGTGACACATGTACAAGAAGACTTACAGGCACTAGGCTTGATCGCTTATGTCATCATATTAACCACTAATCCTGTGTGTGTGCAAGCCCACTGGCAGGTATGTATCAATTTACTCACACATGCAAATGTATAACTAACCCCAACCACTCCTCCACAAACACGTTCCTACACAAAAAAGCTAGAGACGGAGTGACACAAACATCCCTTGACCTTCACACTCTGTAGGATGAACTGGTCACAGTGTTCCACAAGTGTCAGAAGAAAGTGGAATTATATGACCCATACATAAAATCTGGATCAATGTGGCCTGTGGAGATGCTTTAGTTTTTTCTCCTCTCTAGCTCAAGAGGAATGTGAGCAGAGAGTTCTTTGTCTCTGTAATTCTTCTCACAACATGAGAAGCCTGGTAGAGTAGGTCACCTTTTACAGTCCATTCCATAAAGGATGAATCTGAATATTATAATAATTTTTCCAGTATTTTCAATCAAACTAAACAGGTCAGCGTTCCTTTCTCTTCACACTGCTTATAGCAGCTGCTAGGTTTGCTAGTAATTGCAAGGCTTTTGTGAACAAAACAATAATTTTTTTTAAACGGAGAAGCAGAGTACAATAGAGATGGATAGCTGAGATCCCATTCCAGTTTGCATTTCCACAGACAATCAACCAGTCAGATTTGAAGTTCACCTTCTTTTTCCATTTAATTGTCTCCTTTACTCTATGTCATCCAGTCCCTGTTGACTGCTACTAGTCTTCAAAACAAATTTATAAATGTAACTTTAAGATTAAACAGTAATTCTCCTGCTCTCGTTGAATAGCTGTATTTATTTCTATTCACACAGCAGTTTTCAGCAGCTAAGTGGAATTCCAACCAGCAAGGGAACACAACTTCCAAAAGATGATTGACTTTTAAAGATGAATGTTTGATACTCACGGTTTTCCTCCTGGGATGCCTGTGAGATTGGGAGGGATGCCTGGGACACGCATGTGATGGTGTGGATCAAAACCAACCTATAGTTTTCCCCAAGCAAAACAAAAAGGTGTATTAAAGTAAGAGTTTGGCAAGGGAAGACTGTTTAATTCATGTTCTCCATAGCATGCTCCCCAAACCACAAAGAGAGTGAACTAGAGTTAAACCCACAGGTCTTATATTTAATATACACTGCTCTCAAAACTAAATGCACTAATGGCAAACACTTACCACTGGAGATCGCCCGTAAGCTGCTGCTGCTGCTGCTGCTGCAGCTGCTGCACTCATTTGAGGGGAAATATTGTGCAGACCGGCATAGGCAGCTCCAGGGCTGGTCAGCTCCCCGTTCATACCAGCATGTGGCACGATACCAAACGGAGTAGGATAAGGACATGGTACTGCCATAGGAGTTCTTAAACCTGAAGCTATAGAGGGAGTGAAAAAAGAAAGAAGTCACAGAGGCATTCTAGACCCATCAGAAGAAACATGAGTTTGGTAAACAGCAAAAAGACCTCAATACATAATAACAAAAAACACCAAACAAACAAACAAATAAAACAAAACCAGCAGCAACAACAACGAAACACACACACTGTATTACAATGCTGAAGAAACAGCTCAGTACCCAATTTAAGTAACTGCAGATTTAAAGGGAGCCTGGCAAGGGACAAATGGCCACTGTTTCACACCATTGAAATATATGGACACTAACCTATTGGGTCCACACCTGGGGGTTTGCCAGGCACTGATCTCAGTCCAGGAGTGGAGTTGCTGCCTGGAGTTGGGGCATCAGTCCGTGGAGTTGGGGTATTTGATTTAGACACAGGAGTGGTAGATTTCTCATTCTGGTCACCAAAAAGGAAAAAGGAAGACAGTTTGAGAGTTATTTAAGTCTTATAGGTAGTGGTTGGAAAGAGACAGTGACAACCAGAATGTGTATGATTAGTGATATTTAGCTTTTGGGCTTGGGTTTTGACAGTGCTTGGCAATGAAGAGAAGTTGCAGAAACACCAAAAAAGATGAAATGGTTTTGGTAATTAACTACAGACTTCACAGCTTTCTTCATCAGTAGTGTCCATATGATTCAGACTGAGGTAAATGAAAATCACTGCCATCTGGCAATTGGCAGCATATGTGAACTCTGTCAGTAGTCCCACTTTGCTCATGGACCTGCTCCCATTATGATTATGATTTTCTGTGAGAGGCCACTGCTGGATGGACAAGAAGGGTGGAAAAAAAATCCCCAAACTGACTGACAACTCATGCCCAGGCATGGTGCTAGAAACACAGGATGGAGACAGTGATGAGTGTAAAGTCAGGGACTGTGCAGTGCCATTCTTGTGACAAGCTTGTTCATCAGACGAATCACTGACTCCTGGACCCGAGCCTGTCTTTCCACTACCTTTCCTGAGTACAACATTCACTTTAAGCTTTCTTTTTATTTATTTTGCTTCTTTAAATAATCATGTACCCTGCCCTGTGAAGAACTGAGAGGGGAATTACAGCAGCTCAGGTAGGTGATTAACTGTGGTCACAAATATGAAAGGAAAGAACACCCCTTGCAGGCATTTTGCATTATGATTTGTGATGCAAGACAAGGAAGGTTCTTGTAAATGACAGATTACTTTTTAGATAGAAAATAAGAATTATTGTTGTTGTATATAGCCTGGTAATTCAAACAAAGCTAACAACCAAATCACATCCAAGCAGGGAACCGGATTTGCAGCACAGGAAAACAGCTCAAGAAACCCCTGTGTACTTTTATTTATTCTCAGACTGACAGTTTTTCATATGGAGCAGGAGAAGAATATCTCTCAGAACAGCAAATCTATCATTTACCCACACCACCAATGAAAACCTCTTCCTATTGCAAAAAAAAAGACTGTGGACTTCCTCAGTACTATGTTATTAAACTTCCTTGAAGACATAAATTAAACTAATTTTAAATTGATGCTTCATATTGCACTATATTTATAGTGGAAATACAAATTGTGTCCAGAAAAAAATCCAGCAAGCATGCATTTCAGCATATGATCATGGGTCAGGAGCATTCTGAAGCACTTACAAGGCTAAGTTCTTTGGATTTGGAGGAAGGAGTACTGCTAGAAGATGCAATAGATGACGGACTAATTGGTGCATCTTTTTTCAGCAGGCGAGTCTTGTCCAAGCCATTTTCCCGTGGAGACTGTGCTGGGCTCCCCCGGGGAGAAGAAGGATCCTAAACATCAGCAACATGGGTTAGCATAAAAATTTCATACTAGTCACTAGTGCTTGTCTTGAGCAGTCCTTGCTTTGGAATGAAGATCCGTCATAGGAATTGACGTCTTTCTTGTGTTCTCAACTGATTTAGCTGATACAATTGTAAAATCGAGATGGATAATGAAGGACAACTTTTTTTTTAAAGAAAGTCCTAAAATTTGATGCCATTAAATCATGTAAAAAATTTATGGATATTGAAATAGGCAAGTAAATCTTTTTTTTAGGTGACAGACTGAAAAGGTTTGATGCACTTAGCAGACCTGATAAAGCTGACAAATGAACTCATGGCCAGAGTGAAAGAAACGACTGTTAGAAGATACTGTTAGACCCTGCATCCCATCTCGTGATGTGCTTCAAATATCTCAAGAGAACTTTCTGTTCATATGAGAAACAAAAAGTCCTTTGTAGAAATAAATGTTAGATCTGATTTGTTTTCTAAAGAAAGACAACGTGACTGGATTCCCTTATGTGTTTCAAGTTCCTTTATGAAGGCAAACGCTGTAATCTTAGTCATAAAACCAATATGCACAGAAACCACTGAAGACACTCCCACCACCATTACCATAAGGTAGAAAAAACACCATTGTGTATACCTCATTGGAAACATCAACTACCAAGTTGTCATCACTCTTTTCACCATCACTGTCCTGCAACGACAAATCACAATGTTCTAAAACCCATTTATTTAATATCCCAATATCGCTTAAGCATTAAAAAAAAAATAGCAAGGCTGCTCACAAATATGCAATGTACCATTCCCAAGCTTTAAGTGGTAATACAATTAGAATATTTAAATCACCTATAGGGCTTCTGCTTTGCAGGTTGCCATAGCTATAGTATTCTTCCCAGTTTTTACACTGGTAGACAAGGACACACGATGAAATTCTTCATCCAAAGTTGCGCTGCACTATGAAGTGGAGCCAAATTAGAGCCCAGATCTAACAAGTCCCAGCCTAACTAAAGCTCAGCACTACTGTCACATGGCTTCCACGTGCTCTGTATTTATATCGTTAAAAACACTATCAATCATACACACCGAAAACCTTTAATCGAACACCAACATTAGAGGTAGCCAGCAAGAACTTGTTGAAATTTTGACCCTCAATTTTAAAATTAGTTATGCAGAAGGAATCAGGGTGAAATTTCAGAGGAACACTTAAGTACAACAATGCACAATGCAGACAATTTACTCACATAACGAGCCGCTATTTCCTTTTCTTCTGTTTTCTGTTTTTTACTATCTGAAGAATAATCTGTAGAATTTCTGTGCTTTTCTGCTGTTCTGAAACTGGCTGAGGGAGATACAGAAGAGCTCTACAGTTCAAAAACAGAAGAAGGAAACATTATCAAGCACTTATTCAAAACAGTGGTTAATTTGTCACAACCCCTCAATACCTCTTAAGCAGATAATATAATTTGGAGCTGTTCTTATAGATAGCACTTCGGGTTTTAATCGGTGATAGCTACCTATCAAGTGTCTTATATTAAAAATTGCACATTGTATTGTAAGAGAGAGAAAAAAGAGATCAACTGATGACCACGGTGGCTATCTGTAGTGTCAATTGCATGAATGTAGAGCTAATTTGGGTCATTTTATGAATACTGTGCATTGATCTTGTTTAGCTTTGTTTTCTCTACAAATATGCAGGGTTACATTAGTAGTCCAAGAAGGGGTGGGGTGTGTGTGTACGTATGTGTGTGTTTGCCTGTGTACATCAAAAAGGACGAAGAGGCTCAACGCAAGTCATACTTCAGCAAACATCTGAATGAAGATTTCTACCAAAGAAAGAAGTAGGCTTCTGAACAGTCTCGAAGCAGCCAAGAATAGGGGAAAACACTTAAACTCATTTTATTTTGATCCCGTTTACAATTACAGGCTGTGTCTGCAACAGATGGAAACACAATGCAGTGGCTCAGCAATTCTCTTACCGTTCTACACTCTCACCTAGTAATGACTGCTAAAGAGCACATGTAGAGACAGGAGAGAAAGATAAGTACTTTATGCACTGTCATCCAAAAACTCTACTATACTCCTTTAAACAAGGCAGGCAACATTTATCAACTCCTACCATATTTCTAAAAGTTGGTGGAGCCTGTGTCTTGGTATACAAAAAAGAAAACAATGAAAGATGCAAAATTCCCTCTGGGACTGATTTTAGCAGCAGCAGTAGCTTTTGGCTGTAGTTCAAGAGAGCATTTAAGCATGCACTAAACTTTATCTCACACTGAATTCAGTAGTTGAACATACATAAGTAAGGGTGTGTTCAGGCTTTTTTCAGAATTTGAAATGACAGCAATGAAGATGAAAATAATTGTCAGTTGAAACCCTGCTGACTGTTTCCATCACTATCCTCCTTATATAATGGGGTGGGGAGGAACAACAGCTAGAAGTCCTTACTGATGGATTTTAGATCCTCCCATTCATCCAGAAACACTGGTTTGGGAGTTCTCCCTCCATACACTACAGACAGCTGTTGTTCCACATAAAACTGTACTACACAGCTGTTTTGTTTTGGGGCTCTCAGTGCTAATCTTCCTTGGTTTATTTTACAATTATGAACACGAACATAAACCAAGAAATCAGCACTTACACTGAGTAACTTCTGCTCCATCACTATGACAAAATTTCTTCTTTTCCTTATTACATCACAAGCTTCTGGTAAGGATTTAGAACACTTAACCACAGAAATTAAGCTGTCCTTATTGCCCAAGTCATGTGAGAGAATATTTCTTCCTACTGCGACACTCAATTTTTCTAAAATTTCCAGTTCTTGTCAACAGCACCTCAGATTAATGAGTGGTGGAATTTGCAAAAATCTTCCACATTTTTGATTGTCAATCATTAATTACTCTCTAAGAACACTGAGTGGAAATAAAAATTTTAGAACAAAGTCAGTACTGAACATTGTTTGTGCCTTTCCCATTTTCATATCTTCCTGCCTCCCTCTCTCTCTCTCTCTCCCTGACAGTATAAAATAAGTATAAAATTCAATTCATTATTTTTCAACTTCACCCTACGGAAAGCAATTTGTTTTAAAACGAAGAAAAATAATCACCAATAAACTACAAATCAGAGTGTTGTCTAAAGAATTAAACTACTGCACTTACTTAAACAGAAATACTTATTTTCATAAATTTGAAACCATTTAATTTCATTTTTCACAATCTGGTTAGCTATGTACTATAGATACCATTTCGATCTTTGATTTCACTGCTTAATAAAGTAATAAATTAAAGTTCCCTACGAGAAAGATAAAGTAGCTAATTATCATTAGCATATAAAGGATGAGCACCACATTGGGCATTGGGGTAATGTGTGTTGCTTAAGGCTTCTGTTGCTTTAAAGATGGATCAGACTTGATACCAATACGAAAAAATCCTCCTGCAGCATGTCACCTGACATTAGCAGACAAATGGAGACAACTCACCTATTGGCAGCAGGTAGAATCTCATTTCCCAACCTGAAATTAGGCCAGTGTACTAGGACTAACATTATTTTGCCTCAAGAGTCAATTAGTACAGAAAAAAACTAAATATTCTCAGTTTTAACTGTCACCCCCCTTTCCTTGCATGAAGCCAGCCTATCAATACCTCTGCAGCACTACCTTCTTTTTCTTTCAACATGAAATGCACCTGCCACATAAAGATCAATGACTTTATGAGATCTCTGGTAATGGTGCTGACAGATCTAAATTTACCTCTTATGCTAAGTAATAAAGACATGTCATATACATAGCCAATGAGCTATGGTGTAGATCTTCCTATGGACGTAATGCCTACTTATTTTCACTGTGCAAGGGACAACGCTGTTACCTGTACTGAGTTCCCTCCATTGTTCGTAACAGCTTTTCAGTCTATAAACATTTGTAAGGATCTATCCTCATTGATAAATACCAGAATGTAACAATGTCCTCAGGGTTTCCACTGACATCAGATTCCTGTATATAATCCTGTACACACCTACACCTTGGTTCCTGAGTGTGCAGGCCTACATGTTCCAAGAGAGGCCCTTACATTTGCAGACTGTGAAAGAAAACCTCCATCAAAGCAAATTGTTTAGCTGACAGATTCTGCCCTGTTCCTTGATTAAAACATAGTGCTCTCCTAACAGCTGTCTTTAAGAGGCAGGAATAGGATGGCTACTTAGAGAAATTAAGTGATTCAGCACTATAACTTCGGAGACTGTAACTTAATGGGCCAGAGCCTTTGTTTTAGTAACTATTAAAATTTATAGAGAAATAAAGTCTTTTCACACTGCTCCTTTCTTTAATAAAATGTGTTAATCTACTGAAAGAGTAGCATTTTCCTACTAAATAATGCTGAGTTTGCTCACATATAATAACTAGATCAGACATCGCAAAAAATGCTCTTTGGTGAAAGTAGGTTACATTTAGTTGTGTTTGAGCAAAATATACAGGTTTTTCTTATTCTGCTTAGGTAGAACATTTTTATTCATGTTAAATACAACACAAAATGCTGACAAAAAACAACTGAACATACATATTTATGGATAGGCTGAGCACATTGCTGTGTTCAAATAATTTGCTTAAGAAGTGGAACAGTGTGTTTCTAGTGCTGGACCCACAGTATTTTTTGCACTAGGCTGTAAAGCATGGTATCCTATGCTTCACTCTTTGTTTTGGGCAGTGTTGAGCGCAGTGCTAACTAAAGCAATCTCCTACCACAAGGATCACTCTCTTTTCTCTCCAACACTGGCAGGACACCACTCCTGGTGGAGTACCAGTGCTATACAGGTGCAAATTAAATAAGTATCAAAAAAGCCATAGAAGCCTCTTACGCAGCAGTAAAATTCTCTCCAGCATGCTGTCTATTTGGGATAATTAACAGTTCAAATTGCTAGGGAAAAAAACACTCCCTGTTTTAGCCCCAGGTTCCACTGGAAGTTAACTGCATCAACATAGATGGCTCATACTGCAACGTGGCAGAAATCAGTGTCGTCAGACTGCACAGCCATACAAGTGCTTTCAAATCCTGCAAGCCCCAACTCCCCGTATGCTGATTCCTCCAGATGAAGACCTGGCCTGAGCAGACTAAGTAATAATTAAATTAAATCAGTGTTAAAAGTAATGACTAGAGATAACAAGATGAAAAGCCTTCCCACGTGTTTAAGATGGTAACTCTTTAAAGCATTCACGAATATGACCATTCCCATGTGTACTCTTACTACTATGCCAAAATGATGTATTTGGAGTGGAATAATTAAAACAATAATTCCCAACAAAGTGGGAATTACAAGATAATTGACCATAGTGAAGTATTAAGCAAACTGCAGTAAAAGCCAAGGATGCTCAATGTTAAGGTCAATTATGATATAATTATGTGAATGACATTACTGCTGTTATAAAGTCTGTTGAAAGTATAAAATAACTATAAAAATTGATACAATATGCATCACAGGGAAACGACCAGGCAGTAACGCTGCTTCGTTGGCTGATGCCAGTGTTTTAGATGGAAGTACCAGTACAGGAGCTTGGACTCAGCCACTGCACTTATGTTTGGGCTTGGAGCACTAAGGTGTCTAAGACAACGTCTATGCTTACATCAGAAGCACAAAGAAAAAAAAGAAAAAGAAACAGAGAAATTCAGGATGAGACTTCTGACACCCTAAGGTTAAGATGAAGACTTCTCTAGTCAGCTACAAATGGTATGAGGTGGGAGACATCTCATCATACAGGTGAAAGGACATGGAATAAGAAAAAGGGGCAGTCCAGCACAGTCCACAGAGACCATGCACTGCTCAGGGAGAAAACTGCAACCAAGAGCTACCACAGGCCTTCTACATGGCTCTAAGACAACACTCATCTGCCTCAAAGAATGAATTCATTTACATATACCTGTATGAATGGGCACATTACTTTGATTAAAGTGAGGGAGGCAGTGTGAAATGCTGTGGACTGATTTACAGACAGTATGGAATGCTTGCATAGTGACTGTGGCTCCTCAGGTCCCCCACAATTACTGCTACTACACTTTTTGTTGTTATCATTATTATTATTGTTATTACTACATCCCAGTATCTATTACAGCCTCACAGATTTTGTGCTCTTTGCTTTAGATTTTCTACATGTCCTCTTTGCTACCCTTACTTAGGTAAGCAGATTTTCCTCACCATGCCTTTATCTTTAGGTATCCATAGTAGGTAGTGATCAGGCTGACACAGTTAGGCAGTACAACTCAGAGCACAAAACTTCTGAAATGATTCATCAAAGGAGAGGAGGCTGCTAGTCAAGTATTGATCCCATATATATAACTTGTCATGGCGGACTTTTTTAATATTTTCACCTCTCTCTTTT